CCCAGCTTGACCTCTCGCACGCGCACAGCCATCAGCGCGGTCACCAACTGGTCGCCCCTGATCAAGGCGCTGCACGAGGCGACGCTCGCCTTCGGCAGCCTCGCAGAGGTGGGCTCTGGCTGGTGGTCGCCTGACTTCTGGAGGACAAAACCGATCGTGGTCCACATTTCTGAGGCCAGCAAGGCCGCCTTTCCTCTGAAGGCTCACGCCTCGGCCGCCCGCGCTGCCCTGGCCGCCCTGGCCGAAGCCTCGGAACTGGGGCGCGTGAAGGTGCAGAGATCGCTTTTCCTTTTCCCTTCGCCTCGCTCTTTACCCCGACGTCCTCCACCTCACTCTCGCTAAGCGTATGGCCTCTTGGGAGCTCCCATTTTCGGAATCGTTTTGGGATGCCCTCAGAGATCTCATTCGCAGCGGGGGCCCTCCAGCATGGCAAAGTGCTGTCTTGAAGACGATTGTAGGAGGTTGGCTCACCAGCGCACGTTTGCACTCGCCAGAGATCGGCCTGTGTAGATTCCAATGTGCTCAATGCCGAGACGACATGATGCACTATATTCACTGCCCTGTCCTTTGGGGGCTTGTATACCACCCCGACCCGCTTCCTGTTTGTCCATCCACGCGTCTCGGGCTCGATGGTCACCCTTCGCCTGAGATCGCTGAGAGGATCGTGCGGGCTTACCACATATATGATATTGCGCGCACCACCCCCGCTCTCGGCCCCCTCGACAGCGAGGAGGCTCTCGGGAGACATCATTACAATATACGGCGTGCTGCCCAGACCCTTGTAGAGCACTCCACAGCGCCCTTCTAGGTCTGTTCGGTGGGACCCGTCTGGACTCCTCAAGGTACGAGTGATATATATATATATATATATATATATATATACACATATATATATATATATGCGGCATTGACAGTGTAGCTCCGCAGACGCGACACATGTTAACGAGCAGGAGCACAGCAAAGCCCCAAGAGAGCGAGGCATTGACAGTGTAGCTCAGCATTGGCACGGCGGTGGCCGGGGAGCCCCCGCGACATGTCCACGAGCGTTGCTCCACCACGGCGGGCGCTGTGTTCCTGTTCGCAACGCACACCGCCAGAGGCGGTGGAGAGCTTGAGAGATCCACCTACCAAAAGTCTCTGGGCCTTTTTACTGCCAGGAGGCCGCCCACCCTGGCGTCACTCCCTCTGGTGCGCGCCACCAAGACTGCTCCCGCCTCGGGGCCCTCTGCGCCTTGGCATCGCTCGGCCGTGTGCATTTTCTCTCGGCGGGGACCGTCGAGTAGCATATTGGGTCATCTTGCGAGAGACAAGAAACAGAACAACAACCACAACTTAACAACAACAACAACAATAATAATAAGAATAATAACAATAACAAGTTTAAGACTGGTTGCTCTTATCTGTTCACGTGCCAATCAATACTTATATCCCAAGCCCTCGGTACCCGCCATCGTCGTCTTCGATCGTACCCCCTTGGAGGTTATATCTTCCTTACCTGCCACGTGTATTTAGTGCAGCCCCTTAAACAAAGGAAGAGAGGACGGGTGGAAGGGGGAGTGAGAAGAATGGAGCACGAGAGAAATTAGCAGGAAGGGGGCAAGGAGCTGAAAACAAGTTGTAGAACCCGACGGGCAGATCGGGTGGGCAGACCCATAGCGGGCAGGTGGGGAAGACGGGCCCAAGCGACGAGGTCGAGCAGGCGGGTTGCTGAAGCGTGGGCCTTGCATGAATCGCGAGGAAGTCTCGAGCGATAACGCGATTCCCAAGTAAATCGTGAGAAAAGCCAGCGTGGGCCACGAAGGGCATAAAATCCGAGGCCACAGAGGGCAGCGACGGGGCCGCTGAGGGCAGCACCGGGGCCACGAAGGGCAGCGAGGGGGCCACAAAGGGCGACAGCGGGGCTACGAAGGGCATGCATATGGGGCCACGACGGGAGCGAACGGGGGCCACGAAGGGCATTCGTATACAGGGCCACAAAGGGCGACAGCGGGGCCACTGAGGGCAGCAAAGGGGCCACGAAGGGCAGCGGCGAGGGGGCCGCGAAGGGCGACAGCGGGGCTACGAAGGGCATGCGTATGGGGCCACGACGGGCGCCTACGAGCAGGGGCCACGACGGGCATATCATGCGGGGCCACAAAGTTGAGCGACGGGGCCACTGAGGGCAGCAACGGGGCCACGAAGGGCAGCGAGCGAAGGCGACCGCGGAACAAGTACGGGCAGCGAGGGGCATCGAAGGCGGGCGAAGTGCAGCGAGCGGCGACAGCAGTCATTAACGAGCTGGTCGGGCGGGCAGGCCCCGACGGGCGGGTCGAGCGAGCGGGTCGTTGAAGCGTGAGTCCTGCTTGAACCAAGAGGCAGCATGTAGCGGGGCGCGATTCCTGAGGTTCGAGGACCGGCATATGGATAAATTGTAAGGGAATATCAAGCGAAGCAGTTCGGTGGTAAGTTGCGCGGAAATCCCAAGCGAGAACGCGATGTTACACTGTCAGGCAATATCAGGCGGGAACCGCGGTTTGGTTGTAAATTGCCAGGAACTCCAAAGCGAGAGCGCGATTCTTCAATAAATCGCGGGGATGTCTCAGGCGGGAACCGTTGTTGTTGTTGTCTTGGGGAGCAACAACGCAGTTTGATTCGGATTAAATTGTGAGGAATCTCAAGCGGGAGCGCCATTCCTCAATAAGTTGGGAGGAAGTCTCAGACTGGAGAGGGGGGATCCTGAGTAAATTTGGAAGAAGTTTCAGGCTGTAGTCGTTGCTGTTGTAGTCCGGGGGGCCAGGGGCACAGTTTGAGCACCAAGACTTTCCCTGTCAAAAAACAAGGTGCGATCGTCGAGGGGCACACTCTGATTGAGAAAAACAATCTGCAACGGTGGAAAAAAAAAACAACAATAATGAATCTGCAGAAATGAGAGTTCAACAGCAACAGCAACAAGAACAACAACAACGACGACGACAACAACGACAACAACCACAACCACAACCACAACCACAACCACAACAGCAACCACAGCCACAACCACAACCACAACCACAACAACAGCAACAGCAACAGCAGCAACAACAACAACAGCAGCAACAACAACAGCAACAACAACAACAACAGCAACAGCAACAACAACAGCAGCAGCAACAACAACAAACGCACGAAGCCGAAAAACGCCCAGGGAACGGACGTCCGAGCGATGGCGTGTGGTGCGGGCCACCGAGACTGTTCCTGCCTCTAGGCCCTCTCCTCGGCCAGACCCAGACATCCGACGATATACTTAAGTCGGGCATTTTTCTCTACAGGAGGAATATTCAAGAATTGTAAAAATATAGTATGATGACGATGTTCTGTGCTCGTGTGACTATATTTGACTACGTTTCATTTTTCTTCCAAAAACCCGTTTGTAGGAGGACATGCCCGACCTAACGATGTATTATTTGTTCCATGAGAAGGCCCCAGCGGCCCTGACCCTTCCCTGGAGGCGTCGTCTCTTGTCCCGGACCCGTTCTTGATGGCCCCAGGGCCCGACAGCGAGCCCCCCAGATGCCGAAATCGAGGACCGGCGACAAGCGATGGCCGGAGGGTTTCAAGGGGATTTTGGGGGGGAGGGGGTTTTGAAGAGAGCCCCCCAGGGGCCCAGAACCTCATCAAAACAGGGGGTGCGGGGCCCCTGGGGGACCCCTCCTGGAAAACCCCCTCCCCAAGACCCCCCTTGGAACCCTTCGGGAGGGGGGAAGCGAGAAGGAGAAGGCCTGCTCGGCAGGCGGCGGGACTTCTCGGAGGCCTCCCTGGCCTTCCGCGAGGTGCTCCGTGTCCTCGGGGGAAGTTTGGAGGTAGGAAAAGGGTATGGTGTAAAGGGGTGTGGTGCTAATTTTAAGTAAAGGGGACTCTGGCGATGTTATTTGTCGCAGATAGCATCGCCATTTCCACGATTGGCGCCATACCCCTTTATGCCACACCCCTTTCCGACCTCCAGAGGAAGGCAGGAGCGCCTCCCGGAGCCGACGGAGAAGTCGCAGTGTCAAAGACTGGGAGAGGTGCCGCCGGTGAAGGGCTCCGCGGGAGACCCCTCGCCCATACATCGCGAGTAGGGACCTGATAGCCCCCCTAACCTGACACGTCGATTAGCGGATTAGCCGTTCTCGGTTCGCGAGAGGGCGTCGCAGCCGTCATTTTTGCGGGTCCAGGTCCGTCGGTTTCGGTCTTAGGCCGTTTTCACTTAAGGGAGGTTTACTAAAGGGAGGCTTGTCCACCGCCGAGGGACCTGATAGCCCCCCCCCCGCCCAGGAGCGTGCGGATTCGCTGTCGAGGGTCTATCGCTGATCTCTCGGCGATGCATCACCGCTTCCGGGTCGTCGATGTTCCCCCCCCCCCGACGTTCCCCCTCAGTTTGGGGCTCCTTTTCTGAGCCTCCAGGGGCATGCAAAGTTTGCCGCTCACCTTCGACATCAGAATCTCCGCCGCGAGTCAGTCAATGCCGCTTCCGAAAGGTATTCACTGACCTGCGCAGCTTGCCGTTGCAGCGATATGTTGATGAGTGTTGTGGGGGAGATAAAAACAAATCCGAGCCTCCAGAGGCCTCTGGAGGCCTCCTGATGGAAAAGGATCCATAGTTTGAGAGCCTTCCTGAAGGTCCCCCCTGACCCTGAGTTCCGACGGCGCGAAAAAATTGTGAACATCGTACAAAAATTAACCCGGTGTAACCCCATTGGAGGGGAGATTCCTATTGCACGGGCGCAGTTCCTGGCATTGCTTGGCATTGCTTGGCATGAAGCACCAGGGGACCCAAGGCTTGACATTGCTTCGCATTGCTTGGCAGTGCTTGGCTGGGTTCCCCGCCCACAGTGCCTCCCGAGGAACCCGAGGAACCTCCGCGCAATTGGCTAAGTAATAGGCAAGCCTCACTGGGGAATCACGACTGGAGCCCTAGACTCCTTCTGCGCCATTGTTCGAGTTTGATCGACCTGTGAAGGTCCCGGGGCCGAAGAGATCGAGACGCCAGAATCTCGGGGAGCGTTCCCGCCAGAGGTGCCGCTGCTGAAGACGATCCTCTTTTTCTTCCAGGCCGGCCCTCCCGCGCGCAGGGCGCGTCGGGGCACACGTGACGGGGGTCAGCGCCAGCGGGGGTCGGCCAATGCCCGCTGGCTGACCCGGGTTTGGGAGACGCGTGACCCCGTTCGCCCGCCTTCCGCCGACCTTTTGGTTGGGAGTTGCGTTGTGGTTGGCGGGTTTGCGCTGACGGGTTGCGGTGGGGGCGTTGGTCAAGGCACGTGCCCAGGGGGCAACAGGCCTTGAAGGATTCCTTATCTGATGAGAGCTGCGGTGGTATCTATGGCCAATGTTCAGCGCTCCACGCGGATTTCTTGGATCGGCGCTGGCCCCCCTTTGCGGCGCCTCCGGCGCTCTGCGCACAAGGGAGGGGGACCCGGTGCCGATCCAAGAAGCGCCCGCGCAGGCTTCCGAGTGTTTAGGCGTGAACGCTTTCTCGCGTCCTTGGGTCCTGAGGGAAGTCTGTCCTGAGGGTGCTCGCCTCTCGTCGAGCTCTCAAGGGCCCTCCACGGGCCCCGGGAGGGTGGGGAAGCCGCCCAGACTCCTTATCCGAGGGGTCCTTGTCAAATGCCCTCACCGCCGTGCGTCCCCGAAGCGCATGCGCAAGCGCGCGCCGCGGCACCGGCGCGCCGCGCTGCCGCCCCGTGGGGCAAGGATTAAGTCGGGCCTGTCCCTTTACAGCAGGAAGATTCAAAAACAGTCCAAAAACAGTCTGGGGACGGTTTTTGAAGTATTCTTGAGCTGTTTGTTTGATACCTTTCATTCGTCGCCCAAAATCCGCCCGTAGGAGGACACGCCCGAACTAAGGCAAGGATGTTCGTGAAGCGGCCCAGGGACCCACAAATAGATACACACAAATCCCAGGATTCTCCATCCTTTCCCATACTTTGTGAGTTTTCGTCTTCCCGCCCACTTTCCCGTATTTCCCCATATTTCTCGTGGGGATCGACGATCAATTGTGTTTGTGTGTTGTGTTCCCCCTCCTGAGCTCGGGGGGATGGGCTGCGCGGCCATCCCCCCCCCCGAACAGGGATGAGCAACCAGTGTTAGGGGTTCCGGCGATCGCAAACATGGATGAACGGGGCGTGGATTAGGGACGGGTCCCGCTTCCATGGGGAATCGCGGATTTCCGCCGCCGAACGAGGCGGCACTGGCTGCATGTTGGGGAGGATGCTCGGGGGGGCACTGCGCGGCCAGCCCCCCCGAACAGACATCAGTAACCAATGCTACGAAGTGGCGGGGGGGGGGGGGGGAGAGCTGCTGCGTGGCCGGCGCCGGGGCTTCGCGGGCCGGAGCCCCCTGGCCGGCCCGGGGGCGTCCTTGCCCCGTGCCCCTCGGACGGGCCCTGGGACGAGGACAGTCGGGAGGGGAAACAACACACAGGCACAATGAACCGTCGATCCCCAGGAGAAAGGATAGGAAAGGACGGGAAGTGGGGGGGGGGGGGAAGACGAAGGCCCAAGAAGTATGCGGGACAAGACGGGGAATGACTAATCTTGGGGGGGGAGCTGCTTCGTGGCCGGCGCCGGGGCTCCGCGGCAGAGCCCAGGCCGGCCCGGGCGTCCCGTGCCCCCGGGGACGGGACTGGGGCGATCGGGCCGAACGAAAGGGGGGGATTGGGAAAGGGGGGGCTACGAAATCTGCTGCATGCAGCTGGTTTCAGCCCCACCGAGGAGGAGGAGGAGGAGGAGGAGGAGGAGGCGGAGGAGGAGGAGGAGGAGGAGGAGGAGGAGGAATTCCTCGATACATGGCCGCCTCCGGCGCCGGGAGGCGCCGGGAAGACCAGCTGCGTGAGCTGATTCTCAAACCCCCCCTTTGCTATCCCCCCTTTCGCCCGGCCCGAGACGAGGACACCCAGAGATCCAACGTATTTGGAAGAATCAAAACGGAGGTTTGCGTATGCTTCGGCCTCGGGGGGCCCTCGCCGGGCCCCAGGACCGTCAAGAAACGACTCGGGAGGAGAAACCTGTCCTGGGGGATGGGTCGAGACTTCCGGGGACCCCGTATCGAAAAAAACAAGACATGGGATCTCTTTGTAATCAGGAGGGGAAAACACACACAGACACAGACACAATGAATCGTCGATCCCCCAGGAAAAGATAAGAAAAGTGCCCCTCGGACGGGACTAGGACGAGGATTCGGCACGAACGAAATTGGTATGGAAAGAACGGGTACAATGCCCAACAGCAGTTCCTGTTCATTTTGAACAGGACTCGCTGTCCGCGCCGCCGCGGCCTGTGTCCATTTGTGACGGAAGGCCGCCTGCCCAACAGCGGCCGCTGTTGGTTTAGGACGGGACTACGGTTGATAATCTGATTAAGAAGCCTCTTCCTGAAAGGTTGGGCCAGCGTTTCCTGACCAGCTTGCCTGAAAGCTGGCCCGGTTTCTTCAGCGCGTTCGCCCCTCCAGCGTCTGCAGCAGAAGTTGGCCCAGGTTCATTGCAAGAAACATCCGGGAAATTGGCCCAGATTTCTTGACCGATTCGGTTGTAGGACGAGGATAGTCAGGAGGGGGAAAAAAAACACACAGCCACAATGAATCGACGATCCCCAGGAGAAAAGACGGGAAAAGCTGGGAAGCGGGGGGCGAAGACGAAGACCCAAGAAAAATAGGAGCAAGATGGGGAATCCTGGGATGTGTGTGAATTGATTTGTGTGCCCCTGGGCCCCTTCAGATAAATCCGCTCCAGAGCGTTCCGGAGAGCGTTCTGGACCAGGCCGCGGCGCCCGAGAGCCGCCGGATCTCAGAGATTCTCGGTGTGTCCTCCCCCGATGTTCTCCTCCTGGCGGTGAAACGGGGTCCCTGGAAGTCTCGACCCATTCCCCAGGACCAGTTTTTCATCCTGAGTCGTTTTTTGACGGTCCTGGGGCCCGGCGAGGGCCCCTCGAGGCCGAAAAATACGACAAATGTTCGTTTTGATTTGTTCCATGCGTTGTTCTCCTCGTCCTGGCTTCGCCTTGCTCCTCGCGCAGTGCCCCCGCCGCAGTGCGTCCCCGAAGCGCAAGCGCGTGCGCGCCGCGGCACCGGCGTGCGCGCGCTGCCGCCTTATTTGGGAGTGCCGCAGCGCCCGCCGCGGCGTGTCGGCGGGCCGGAGCCCGGAGGTCGGCATTGGGCTTGGGCTGCAAAGCATTCAGGAAGACAAGTACGGAAAAAATTGAGTGGTAAATGCATTGAATTATACAAGAAGGGCTTCCATTATCATTTCAACAGTTATTGCTATTGTCGTAATGAGCGGAACTAGAAATGAATAATGTGCGTTCCTGGCTCCAAAAGCTGCCCAGCGTTTCCTTAAGAAACTTCTGAAAAGCTGGCCCAGCTTTCTTAATTCTTATGTATCTTAATCATATTCTTGACTGTACCCAGAGATCCAGCGCACTGACAAAAAACAATACGCACGTTTTCCCTATTTTTCTGCCTCTCGGGGTCCTCGCCGGGCCCCGGGACCGTGAAAAACCGGCTCGGGATGAAGAACCGGTCTTGGGGAATGGGTCGAGACTTCCGGGAACCACGTATAGAAAAAAACACGACATCGGATCTCTGCGCATCGGGTTGGGAGGATGGGGTTGGGAGAATTGTTTAGATCATGTGTATTATCGCATATGTTCAACGTACTCAGACGCAGGCGGCCGACTGTATCGTTCACTGCATCTGGACGCCTTTGCTCATACCATGCATTCTCCCCACACGATGGGTGTCTTCCTCAATCACGGAAGCATCCGCTCGTCTCGGATGGCATGCAAGCCCAGAGGTCGTTGAGAGTAGGTTTTGGGGGGATGCCCCAGGGCCAATAAGCTATTTGGGGCGCCTTCCTGCTTTTCCTGCTTCAAGAGTCGAGCGGCCTTCCCTTTTCCCTCCTGTTCAGGGGGCGGGCGGAAGCCCAGTCTACTTCCAACGCTTCCCTATTTCATGTTTCTACCCACTTCTTCGGACCGACGGGTACCTGTGAACAGCGCCCAGCAGCACTCAACAGCGCCAAGGATTGCCCAATGGCGCTAGCTCCCGATAGCGACCAATATAGCACCGTGCAAGGGAGATGCAATCTGTCCGCTTTGCTCGCGAGTGGGCGCGCTGTTGAGCGCCGTGGGGACGACAAAAAGCTTTCGTGAGTTGCTTTCTCACTTGGCGTCAGGGGGGTGGGGGGGTGGGTCAAGACGCTGAAAACCCAGACATGCTCGCGTCGGGAAAAAAATCTCGACGTAGGGGTTTTGGCCGCTTTCGGCCCCTGGGGGCCCTCACTGGGCCCCAGGACCGTCAAAGAACGACTCGGGATGAAAAGACGGCCCCGGGGAAAGGGTCGGGACTTCTGGGGAACCCACATCATTGAGGTGGTCCCGGCTAACGCCATGAAGGAGAGGGGTCTTGAGCTTGGCATCACTTGAGCGTGTGCCTTTGTTTGGGCGAGGGCCATCGGGGAGCATATGTGATCATCTTGCAGGAAGCACGAACGCACGAAACCGAAAAAAGGGCACGTGGAATGGACGTCCGAGCCCGTTGTTCCCTACCTAGGCTCTGCCTAGAGGGTTCTTACTCTCTTAGCTTAAAGGGGCCGGGCAGTGCACCACGCCCCGGGCGGTTCCCCCAGTCCCCGCCCCGCGGTTCCCCCAGTCCCCCGGGAGCTTTAGCTATAGCTTTAGCTTAGCTTTAGCTTAGCTTTAGCTTAGCTTTAGCTTAGCTTTAACTTATCTTTAGCTTAGCTTTAGCTTACCTTCAGCTTAGCCTTAGTTTAACTTTAGCTTAGCTTCAGCTTAGCTGTAGCTTAGCTTTAGCCTAGCTTTAGCTTAGCTTCAGCTTAGCTCCAGCTTAGCTTTAGCTTAGCTTTAGCTTACCTTCAGCTTAGTTTCAGCTTAGCTTCAGTTTAGCTTCAGCTTAGCTTTAGCTTAGCTTTAGCTTAGCTTTAGCTTAGCGTTAGCTTAGCTTTAGTTTAGATTTAGCTCAGCTTTAGCTTAGCTTTAGCTTAGCTTTAGCTTAGCTGCAGCTTAGCTGTAGCTTAGCTTCAGCTTAGCTCCAGCTTAGCTCCAGCTT